GAGAACCACGGAGAAAAGTTACAGCCAACGGGATTACCTTAATTGCAGAATACACTCGGCAACACAGTCCCAACAGTCAGGTCACCCAAACAAACCCAAATGTTCTCCCCCATTTGATTTCCAAGAACTTGATCGCACAAGAATTACTCAGTTTACAAAAAACAACTCTTTATAAGGAGTCTTTCCTATTGCGAAATCTAACATCTGGTCCACTGTTTCTAAGACCTCTTGCCACTGACATTATTTTCACCTTTGATATGGTGTAATACATTATCTGCCTCTACACCTGTAGCCTATAAGCTCTGTCTGTTTTGATCACAACAAGATAATGCTGAAAAGTGAGGAGTTAATTGGAATTATTAACTATTGTGGCTGATCGTAGAAGAAAATGTAATACCTAACAGTTTTTAATTTTATTTGATTTGTGATAATTTCAATCTTTTCGTGCCTTGATAGAGTGCGCACCTTTTTGGATGACTGACATGAGCTCTGTCCTTAAGACAGTCTATTTACATTTCAGTACATGACATGGCCCCCATGGGTTTTCAACTACCTGTGGAAAATTTTCTGCTTCTTGCTGGATGCAAGTAGCAGAAAACACTGAATGCAGAATTGGACAGAACTCAAAAGCTACAACTTGTGGTGGCAATTTCTGTTNTGTAGTGTAATGTACTGATTTACTGAAGACATATACTGTACCTTTTAGCTGACCTTTAAAAGATATGTGTTGAAGCAATATAATCTGTGCAACTGACAAATTACACACTGGTTTAATATTTCATGTATTCTTATGACACACACACACTTATTGAGCACTTAAGCATTGTGGTGGAGAAGTACCTAGGACTCACTGTGAATCATTTCTAAAAATAGCATGAGGATGGGTCCAGAAAACACTAGTGGAAAATTAGGGGAATTACAGCTTGTCCTGAGAATGACCCTAGAGGGGGAAGGACTAAAAAGTGCTGAGTCAGCAGAAATATGACACCATTATGGTGGAGAAAAAGTGACTCAGCAGAGGTGGGATATCATTATGATCAGAGCCAAGTGGGAAGGATTAAGGGAAAGAAATGACTCAGCAGAAATTCTACGATAAAAGAGCGAGCGCAAAACAAAGAAATTCCAGCCTTGCTCCGGAGCTTGGCTCATTTGGGTTGTGATGTGTTTGTTGCCTGCAAGCACATTAAACTCAGTTGCATCTGATTCTACGTGTCTCCAGTGATTTTTTTTGACCTCTGAGTATTTGAGTTTTTGATATCTAATGGAAGATAAAGAAAGTCCGTTTGAGAGGAAAAGAGCGAGGTCGCGAGCTAACTGGCCCGGCTCGGGACCTTGACTTTTTTGCTTCTACAGATAACACATCAATAATGAATAATATATTTGATCTAGTTCTGACAGACAGCGCATCAGAGAGAGAGAGGACGTTATGCTACTTGCTACTTTAAAGGTCCACTGTGTGGAATTTAGTGGCATCTATTGGCAGAAATTGTAAATACTAGCCTGTTCATGACTGTATTTTCATTAGTGTATAATCACCTGAAAATAAGAAGTGTTAAAATGAGCTGTTTATATCTACGTAAGAGCTGTGTTCCAAATCACATACTTTTAGTAGGTGCTGCCTTTATAAAGTAGGTAGTTCTACTGTTGCATACAGTATGCACACAGTCACAACATACCACTTCATCATAACATTGTACCCTGAACTATGACCCTCTTGCTTATATATCCATTATCTGGAGATAAAACAAAGCACCAAGCTCACCAGAGAGAGCTCTGCTGTTGTTACAGTCCAATATATGTCATTTTAGCTGTAAAGTTAAAACTGCATACATTTAAGATTCTAACATATTATGCTCATGAGAGTTAAATTAACCTACATCATTGTTATTTTTATAGTTATGTCTTTTTGTTTTTGGTTATCTTTATGATTATTTTGTTAACTTAAAAACTTCCTACTCCCATTTTTACTATCTATTTGACTGGTCATACAGTATAATTTTTAATATGATATGAAAAATTCACATCACCTGCAAAATGTCCACATTTGTTGCTGTGGGTAACAGTGTGATGTCAGTATGTCAACAAATGTGGACATTTTGCGGGTGCACCTTAAAAGTCGCTGGCAGTCGGGCCAGTGAATTAAGTTATTTTTTTCCTCTGAATCTGGCAGCAAAACATCCTTTCATTTTATAGGTACAGTTTTAAATTATTAATGTATGTTAAACTCTCCACGACAGTGGTTACATGAGCTTCAAAACCAGCCACAACTTGGCCCTGAGCAGAATGACTGTCTGCTATTGACCAATCGACATACTGCAGTGTTCACAGCCCCACCTTTTTGTACTAGATCTGTGTGTTATGTACCCCAACAGAGGGGTGACTAAAAATGGGGACAGTACAGAACTGTTCCATTGGTGCCATCCACAACGTTTCACAGTGGAAACAGATAAAAAGCATACCAAACTTATCCATACCATACTGCTCGGTGGAAACGAGGCTAGAGACAGTTTACTGGCAGAGTCTGTTCAGGCTCACGCAAGGAATATCCAGGTATACTGTAGCCTTGTGAAATTATTATCTTAACCCTCCGGTCCCCCTTGTAAAAAATCACACCTGTCCCCTTCGGGACGTTTTTCATCCTTGTTGAAAAACAACCATAAAAATATTAAACATTAATATTTTTTTCTACTTTTTTTTTTGCTTAAATCTTTTAACCAACTCCTACTCAGATTATACATATCAAATATTCATTCATTTTGAGGATTTTTAACCTTTTATATGCCATTTTCTTTACATGAAGTCACTGTTACTTTTATGAAAAAAACATAAATTATGAATTACTTTCTATATAATAAATGTTGGATGGAAATTTTTTTTCTAATTATCACAGTCTGGGATATGTGAGTGATTAATAACAACACCAATTTTGATCAATAAACACTGACACCTTTCCCCTTTGGGACGTTTTTCGTCCGTGTTGAAAAACAACTATAAAAATATTGAATATTAATATTTTTTTACTTTTTTTGCTTAAATCTTTTAACCAACTTCTACTCGGATTATATATACCAAATATTCATTGTGTGTGTGTGTGTGTGTATGAGAGAGAGACCTTGCAACAACCTGCAGCTCATACTTTGCAATTTTTAGCTACACAATTAGACACACACACACACACACACACACAATATATTTTTAGCATCTATACAGCCACAGCCCCCAGACATCCATATATTTTTTTTGCATCAATGGCTCCCAAACCTCATTAATGAAAAAATAGGAGAAAAATACAGGCAATTTTACTGCTTACCATTTAGTGTGTGTTTGCTCTGCTGGGGAAGCACAGACACACACACACACACACACACACACACACATACAAACTAACATTGCAATATTTTTATACAGACCACATTGTCACATCTTTATGAGCGCAGCAAGACCATTTTTTGATCTACTCTGCATTTGCCCTCCCTGTTAGGGGCCTATAGTGCTTCAAGTGGCCAAACCAGGAATTGTATTGAACAGACAGCAGGGCCCCAAAAATGGAAATTGGCTCCTTCTGTTTTTTATTTTATTTATTTCTTTATTTATTTTTACCATTCTTGGGTCTCTCTAACCAACCTGACTGTCAGAGATAGAAAAAAATCACGTTTTTTTAATGTAAATTGAAGGAGAATCAAAAAATGTCGTTTTAATGGGTTTCAATGGGGACAGTTTGCGACTGAGAGGGCAAGGTGTTGCCATTTGTGTATTTTAGGCCTGATTTAGGAGCGGCTTTAAAATTTCAAAATATCACCAAAAATAAGGTTTCTGACCAAATGTCATGTGTAGTGTAAAAGTCAAAACCCTCATCAGGTGTTAGACCATATAAGTTGGATAAGATACAAATAGTTATATAACCATGTTAGTCTGTAGACTTTTGCAAAAGACTAATTCTGCATTCATGTGTAATATGCAATGTAACGGTGTGAACTCTTAGTGACATCTCAGGTGTGAACTCTTATTGACACACATAACCTATCACGCGCTGTATAATGATATAATGCACCAACCTATACTCACATGATGTTGTGAACTTATAGTGACACTCATGCAAGTTACCACGTGCTGTGTGAAGAAGACAGAACACTCACTTGATTGTACTGCCTAATGCACTTAAGAGTTTATGTAAAGGTCACACTCACACTCAAATGATTGTATCACGAGGAACTGCAGCATGTGAGCCACCAGGGATCACATGTTTTTTTAAAGATAGAACACGAGGGACTGTAGCATGTGAGTCCCCACAGATCACATGTTTTTTTAAAAAATAGAGTGAGAGCGATTCCGGAAATACTGGTGGCAGATTCCAGTTGAGCAGGAATAAAGGCAAAAGTCTGCTACCTGTAAAAACGGATCTAAGTGGGAAGGACTACAGAAATGGGTGGAGATCTCTTCGACCTCCACCAGCATATAAGCCAGAGCGCTGAAAGCAGGTTTTCAGTCGTCCTCTGGAGGCTGACTCGTGAGTTTGTCTGTGTTGTTGCCTGTGAACACAATAAACTCGATTGCACCAGATTCTGCCTATCTCCAGTGTTTTTCTAAGTACCAGCCAGCCGAACCTAAGATACTGAATTGACAACAAAAGACATTTTAGAAGAAACAAGGAGGACGGGGTCGGGAGCCGTCAGGCCCAATTCCAGGCACCGATTTCAGTCACCTCACATGCTATATGCATGAACACAGCCAAAGTTATCAAAAAATAAAAACTGAAAAATGACTGAAAAGGACGTTTTCCGTCCGAGGGGGGCCGGAGGGTTGATCAAAATAAATATTCAGTATTGGTTAATGTTACATTTTCAGACTCTAATTGGTCATCATCAGCTGTTACTTAAGTAGATTCATCATTCACCTCATAAATTATGGCACACTGCTTTCCCCTAAAAAATTGGCACTCTTAATTAAAAGTATTGTGTCTGTATCAATATTCTGAGCCTGTATTACTTTCTATCGCCATTTTCACCCCGAGTGAAAATCACTGGTGGATGAGCACGGGTCCGCCTCCTGCAGGTGACGTCATCAGTATATAGGACTAGGCTGAGGCAGGCTTGCATGCATGTGAGCTGAAGAAGAGACCATTGTTAGAGGAGGATACCGCTGGATGTTACTGTCAGTCGGCTCTAACACCCACAATGGGGAGGAATACTCTGCAGTCCTGATTTTAAACAGCTGTACAACTGAGGAATGTACGTCAAAGAGGAAGAAAGAGGAGCGTTAATATTTCCTGCACGGACCAACGGATGTTACGACGGTTAACGTGCCATTGAAGTTGGACCTCGACGGGATTAAAAGTAAGTTTGCCAGCAGCAAAAGTGTTGTGTTAAAGTGTTGTACAGCGGTGTAGACGGCCCCACCCCATGGCGATATATCCTCATGTGTGTGAGGAGATGGCTGTAATGCACCGTAGTGACTCGTATAAACACTTAAAGTTAAGTTATCTGTAGCAAAAAATAGTTTTTGTTGTCGCCGTATTTCAGCTGACGAACGTGAATTAACGGTAACGTCAGTTTCGCCAGATCGTAAAAAATCCAACGGCTCTTTTATCATAAACTTTGCGCAAATACATGCTTGTCCGTCATTCAACCATTTCACAACCTATTTAAGGACCGATATTTAAATGTATAACTTGTATAAAACAAATAACTTTAAATTTTGGTAGTTTACCGCTGCACTCTATTGGGGCTAAACCAGTGCAGAATATTTGCAGACACAGCAACATAGCAGAGACATGGCTGGTTTTGGCATTAGATCAGGATGACTCACAGGTCTTTCCTCTGAGAATGAAAACACCACTAACCATGATGAAGATAATTATTCAACCTTACCTCCAGGCTTTAAAGCTTTTATCGTTACTGAAAGCAGCACCTTCACATCTTAAAAGACATATGCATGAGTTGCATAAAAGCACCAGAAAAGCACCAGCCAAATGCTAGTATAATGCAAGTGGCTGCTAGATTTGCTTCACCCACCAGTAATCCATATAGTGGCCGTGATATTTTTAATCCACCAGCCACATTTCCGACTCTGCATGAGTTTAAGTCCACTACACTATCATGTCACTGTTTTGCTGGACAATTTCTATGGCCTACAATAAACAATAGATGAAAGTGTGATGAGCAGTATTTCAGTAGATGTTAGTATGTATTTTTACATCTCCACTGACCAGTGGATACTTGGGCAAGACCCCCTGGAGATCATGTTCCGACATGGCAGACGTAATGGCATCAGAAGTGCTAGGCTTACTGATAAATGGACGGAAGTTAGACTAATTTTAGTTGGCCCAAGGTCAAGTTAAATGTGCCAAGGAACCATTTTAAGTAATAGTATACATGTCACCATTGTAGTGTAAGATTTAATCTTTAATCAGGTAAAGGTGTTATACTGCATAAGTTGATTAAGAGTAACGGTTATATAACCATGTTTTATGTATAAGTTCCTATAAAACTGTTTGTTATGCATCTATGTGTGATAAAACACTGTTATACAAGTCTGTGTATTCATAACACAAGGTTATGTATTCACATTGAAGAGCACACATATACCACACCATGTACTGTTTAATAATAACACACACACACACTCTAACGTTTGTATTGCATGACACACACTCTAAGAGTCCACATTGCATGAAAGCACAGGGGATTGTATAGAGAAAGTCCCCAGGTTTCATATGTTTTTAAAAAATAAAGTGAAACCAGGCTCGAACCTACCTCTAACCTTGTGGGAGAATTTGGGGATTTCCAGGCCCAGGGATTACACCATTAGGTCATGTTTGGACAAGGGCCCAAGGGGCCGGCCACCAATAGATTTGGACCAGATGGAAAAGGGCTAAAAAGAAAAAGACCTGCCACCAATTGGTTCTTATGCAGGTAGGAAGGACTAAAGGAAAATGGTGGAGATTCTCTTGAATCTTCACCAGCATAAAAGGGAGAGCGCAGAAAGTGAAACTTCAGTCTTGCTCTGGAGCCTGACTCATGAGTTGTATGTGTTGAAGCTTGTGAACACATTAAACTCGATTGCACCAGATTCTATCTGACTCCAGTGTTTCTCTAAGTGTCAGCCAACTGAACCTAAGATACTAAACCAACTCAGAGGACGATCTTGAAGAGAAGTGGAAGACGAGGTTGGGAGCCATCTGGCCCACTTCTAGGCACCGATTTTCACTTCAACACCATCCTATGTAAGGAAAATGCTCAACCTCAGCAAACACTGAAATGAAGAGACTCAGAGAACCACGGAGAAAAGTTACAGCCAACGGGATTACCTTAATTGCAGAATACACTCGGCAACACAGTCCCAACAGTCAGGTCACCCAAACAAACCCAAATGTTCTCCCCCATTTGATTTCCAAGAACTTGATCGCACAAGAATTACTCAGTTTACAAAAAACAACTCTTTATAAGGAGTCTTTCCTATTGCGAAATCTAACATCTGGTCCACTGTTTCTAAGATCTCTTGCCACTGACATTATTTTCACCTTTGATATGGTGTAATACATTATCTGCCTCTACACCTGTAGCCTATAAGCTCTGTCTGTTTTGATCACAACAAGATAATGCTGAAAAGTGAGGAGTTAATTGGAATTATTAACTATTGTGGCTGATCGTAGAAGAAAATGTAATACCTAACAGTTTTTAATTTTATTTGATTTGTGATAATTTCAATCTTTTCGTGCCTTGATAGAGTGCGCACCTTTTTGGATGACTGACATGAGCTCTGTCCTTAAGACAGTCTATTTACATTTCAGTACATGACATGGCCCCCATGGGTTTTCAACTACCTGTGGAAAATTTTCTGCTTCTTGCTGGATGCAAGTAGCAGAAAACACTGAATGCAGAATTGGACAGAACTCAAAAGCTACAACTTGTGGTGGCAATTTCTGTTTATCAAAACACATTGAGTCCGATACTTGTCTTCCTTTTAAGTTTAATTTAGTATCTGCAGATGGACTCACAACAAACTGCCAAGAAAAAGCTTAGTGAAAAGAGCAAGCCCTGAGCACAGGAGATGTCAGATACTTATAGTTAACTATTATCTTTAGCTAGCATTGTCAGAGGGTGTGACAGAGCTGTTTGGGCTATCTTATCTATAACTGTAATGCATTTCAATCTAATTAATACAGCTGTTTTAGGATGTCATACCAAAGAAGTGGATTGACTATTTCTGGATGGTGTGTAGTGTAAAAGTCAAAACCCTCATCAGGTGTTAGACCATATAAGTTGGATAAGATACAAATAGCTATATAACCATGTTAGTGTGTAAACTTTTGCAAAAACTAATCCTGCATTCATGTGTAATATGCAATATAACGGTGTGAACTCTTAGTGACATCTCAGTTGTGAACTCTTATTGACACACATAGCCTATCACGCGCTGTGTAATGATATAATGCATTAACCTACACTCACATGATGTTGTGAACTTATAGTGACACTCATACAAGTTGCCACATGCTGTGACAGCACACTCACTTGATTGTACTGCCTAAATGCACTTAAGAGTTTATATAACACGGGAAAAGGTCACATACACACTCAAATGATTGTATCACAAGGGACTGTAGCATGTGAGTCCCCAGAGATCACATGGGTTTTTTTTAAAAAATAGAGTGAGAGTGATTCCGGAAATACTGGAGGCAGATTCCAGTTGAGCAGGAATAAAGGCAAAAGTCTGCTACCAGTAAAAACGGATCGAAGTGGGAAGGACTACAGAAATGGGTGGAGATCTCCTCGACCTCCACCAGCATATAAGCCAGAGCGCTGAAAGCAGGTTTTCAGTCGTCCTCCGGAGGCAGACTCGTGAGTTTGTCTGTGTTGTTGCCTGTGAACACAATAAACTCGATTGCACCAGATTCTGCCTTTCTCCAGTGTTTTTCTAAGTACCAGCCAGCCGAACCTAAGATACTGAATTGACAACAAAAGACATTTTAGAAGAAACAAGGAGGACGGGGTCGGGAGCCGTCAGGCCCAATTCCAGGCACCGATTTCAGTCACCTCAGGTGTCACTTCTGAAATAACTAGAAAACAGCTGCAACATTGGAAACTGTTTAATTGTTCTGTCGTCATGAAAATTAATTTCTAGCTCAGTCTAAAAATTCTCTTTATTTTAGTTGATAGAGAAAATTGCATGAGAGCAGAGCATACTCATCATTATCTTGACGTGTGTGGGTGTTTGATTTTAGCTACAGAATTTGATTGAAAGCCTAATGATGTCCAACATATACAGCTCACATTCAGGCCTAGTCCACACGAGCACAGGTATTTTTAAAACCAAACTTTTTTGGCCTCCAGTTTTCAAAAAATCTGCGTCCATACGAGTGGTGTAATAAAAATACCTCCGTCCACATGACACCGCAAATTCCACTATCAAGCAACGTAATACACATGCCAAAGCAGTAGGTGGCGAGTAACTGACACCGAGCTTCAGTTACCTCTCTTTCTGAAACGGGCTGGAGTTACTCTGCTTTCTCTGGTTTAAGTTACCTCCCTTTCTGAAACGGAAAACTCAGAGTTTCCCTCATTTCAGGGTTAACAGACTCAGAGTTTTCACTAAACCTGCTTTGTGAAACGGACCCCAGGATAGCTTGTGGCCGTGATGTCAACAAACTCCACACACTACAGCAGAGGTAGTCACATTCACAGGCACACATGTTAACATTTATTTACATTAAATCGCAAAACGCAGCCTTTTATGCGGTTATGTAATCGTACAGCCTGACATCGCGATTGCGGTTAGATTAATCGTGCATTGCTACCAGAAAATTATGATCAGTCTCTTAATGTGTATAAAATATATGAACACTATTGTAATAATTATAGCTATTATATTCACTCTTCTTCACTGCACTTCACTTGCTTCTTTCTGTTTTCTGAAGCTTCCTCTTTCTGAACCCACTTCCTTTGTGTGTTAGGAAGGTGCGTTCCTGTGGTGGTAATGATTGGGGGGATTTCCTTGACCTACTAAAAGTATGCAGCACTGAAATATGCAGACATTATTTTGAATATATATGTTTTTTTCTTCCCTTTCTGCTTCTTCCTCCTCTTAGGTATTCTTATTGTTAGTAGCAGTCCCTCAAGATTTTGTGATGCTGTGATTGCTACAATTAACTCAAAGTCAGCAAATCCCCGTGAATTCTTTACAACCTTGCCGTTTTGTCTAATATGCAAATGTGACAATGTAAAAGCAGTAAAATCTTGAAGTGTAGGATTCGCTCAGCTTTCTCTCTGTTTATCATGAGACTGTGTAGTGTAAGATTTAATCATTAATCAGTAAAGTTGATTAAGGTTGAAGTTCATATAATAATGTTTTTATGTATCCATGTATGGCAAAACACTTTTACACAAGTTTTGTATTCATATATTGAAAACACACACACATACCATACCATGTACTATCTGGAAGTGTAATAATAGACACACACACACTCTAAGGTTTTATATTGCATGAGGGCACAAGGTACCTTATAGAAATAGTCCCCAAGTTCCATATGTTTTTAAAAAATAGTGTGAACCCAAGTTCAGACCTAATGGTGGGAGAGTTTGGGGATTTCCAGGCCGGGGGAAAAAGATTACACAATTAAGACATGTCCGGGCATGTTCGGGCATGTCTGAACAAAGGCAAAAAGGCCTGCCACCAGTAGGTTTGGGCCCGGGTAGGAAGGGCTAAAAGGAAAAGGGTGGAGATTCTCTCGAATCTTCACCAGCATAACACACCAGGCCATGTATTGCATGTACACCACTGGGATTAAAGGTTTTTTTAAAAAAGAGTAGGACTGACACCAGCAGCTGCCTGTGCCTGGGACGCCTGGGACGGCTGTGGGTGCCCAGATTGGCCCCAATGAATGTCCAAGCTGACTCCACGAGACACGATTATGTTGTAAACATCCATGGGGAGATCAAACAGGCCAAGATAAGACACCATTATGTTCTAACTCATGTGGGAACGATGAAAGAAAAGGAGGTGGAGACTCACTAGAATTTTTCACAAGCATAAAAGGGAGAGGGTTCCGGAGCCTGACTCATGAGTTGTATGTGTTGTTGCTTGTGAACACATTAAACTCGATTGCACCTGACTGTAAGTGTCTCCAGTGACTTCCTGAGTACTACCTGCTTGACTCCTAGGTACATTTTTGTGAAGAAGACAAGTTCAAACAAAGGTGTTGGGGGCGAGATCCGGAGTCATTTGGCCCAGCTTTGGACACCATTTTTACCTCTTCAGAGCCTTGGCTGGTTGAAAGTGTGATAGAATGTATTAATCAACTTGCACTTGTCCACATACCTAGTAAATACCATTGCACTCATCCACATATCTAGTCATGTATTGAATATATGTCACCTCTGATCTGGTTACATTGTTAGGAATACTGTGATTGAATATTAAGTGTCTCCAGTGACTTCCTGAGTACAACCTTTTTGATTCCGAGACACATTTTTTTGAAAAATACGAGTTCAAACAAAAGTGTTGAGGGCGAGGTCTGGAGCCATCTGGCCCAGCTTCAGACATCGTTTTTTACCTCTTTACCACGGTTGCGTGGTCAGGTGGCAACAGAAGGAGCAGGCTCACATGAGGTCTTTACAAACCTGGAGTTATGACGCACCTGCTGTAAAACAAGAGACATGGAAAAGGGCGGAAAAAACAGCATTGTGTGTGTGTGTGTGTGTGTGTGTGTGTGTGTGTTAGAGACCACTACCTTGAAATTTTTTTTCTTTCAGTGTAAGGTTGTGTACCAAACATTTGCGTCTGCTGTTTTACAACCGTTAAAATTTTTGAATTCCTCTTTCAGGAAAGTTGCCTCTTCAAACTGCTACTTCAACGGAGGACAAAAATGCAGTCTTGTGCATGGATGAATGGACAGTACCACCAGGTTGGACCACCACCGTCACAATCCTCACAGGCTCCTGCTCAGTTTACCCACATCACAATGAGGAATCAGCAAGCTGGGTCTGCAGATAACTCATGCCAGTACAGGACAGCAAACACAGGAGTTCGACCGCCGCAAAGTGCTAATTTCACCTATGACAATGGAGCTAACCCTAACAGACAGCCTTCAAAATGGCCGAACTCAGCAGTTCCTCATCAGGCAGTTTCTTCGCAGCAGCCAGCTGAACGGAACAGTTATCATCCGAGAGTATTAATTGGCAATCTGCAACAGTCGTCTACTAATACACAAAGTGGAAACCATAGTTTGCCGGTCACTTCTGTATTTCAGCAAGATTTTCATCAGAGCCCTGCTCAGAATTCATTGACCCAGAGTCCACCCAACACCATGAAAGTAAACACTACACAACCTCAGCAAAACATGTCAGCACATTGGAACCAAATGGTCAGAGTTCATGGGAAACAGTCAGTAAGGGCACAGGAGGGCAATGTTGTGTCTGATCTTCAGCGTTATGGGAATCCAAATAGCTTGTTTCACATCGTCAATGGAGAGTCAACTAAATCCTTTCCAGCATACACTACAACAGTGATCTCGCCTCCACAGCAAGACGTGATATACAGCGGCATATTAGTGCCTGCTGCTGCACACAACAGACAGACCGCTATTAAAGACAGTCACAAACAAAACGGCACTCAACACAGCTTCTCTCCCTCCATTGACCCACCAGATTATAGTATGGCTATCTCTCAGTCTGTCAGAAACAGCAGCATTACAACAAACTCATCATCATGGGGACAGGTTGTGCAAGTTTCCAGCATGAGTCAGAAACCTCAACAGTACTCAACACATAACAATAGGGGAGAGGCCAAATCCTCCACAGACTCAAATTTATGTAGCAGGCAGTATGAAATTGCAATGATTGCCAGAATTGCGGATGATCTACGTAAGTCATTCCCTGCTGCCTCAGATGTTCCTTCTCCAGTGTATTCCAGGTCACCTTCTGGAGGGAAGCAGTTTGGCAGTGAGGTCAGAGTGACGGCATCCAATCAAAATATGCAACCTGTGACATCAACTGTCACTCAAAGTTATAACTCAAATGCCTCCCAGTCCCTATCACTTAATTCTGGACATTTTTTGCCTAAAATGATTCATGGTGTTATGTCAACAAAGCACAGTTTAGTTGTGCCACAGCAACAAAACTCTGTACCAAATGTCTTTCATGTCATGCCAACAGGCGATGGAAAAGGAAATGGAAGTAAGACAGCCAACAGTTTTATTAGAAAAAATGTTGGATCATTAAGTGCTGCATCTTATCTGAAGCAGCTGTCTGAGAGCATATCATCACAGCAAAATGAGACCCAGTCATCTGTAGCAAGCAATCGTGAAAGGCTTGAAATGCGTTCATCAGTCAAGACAAATGACACCTCCAGTCACTCATCCCCTGGTCGCACAAGAGCTGTTGCTGTTGTGCAACCATTGTCATATGAGAGCTTTCAGGTTGCCTGCAAGCAAACCTGTCCTAAGACAATTAGTCAGTTGTCTGAGGGCACTGCAATTGATGAATCATTAAGTAACCCTGAGAAATTCTTTAGTTCACCCAAAAACAGATCTTACTCTTACACAAATCAAATGGCGTCCAACAAATCTGCCATCAAGCATTCAGCAGCATCCAATGCTGGTACTTCTTTGTCATCTTCAGATTCAGCAGGGCTTCGAGACTTATTGCAAAAACAGTCATGTGAGGATGACACAGGACCTGAACTGGCGAATAGCATGCAAGTAGACCAGGCTGTTGCATCATCTGCTCAACAATTGGTAACATCTGAGGCTCAAGCAACCCAAAGTGGTGATAAGGACAACAGTGAGATGCCAACAGATCCAAAAGGGGTTTTTGAGCTTTCCTCACTCCCAACAACCCCATGGACAGTTCTCACATTAACTAAGTTGATACAAGATGCTGAAAAAAGTCAGATGGAGAGAAAAGATTTTCCCAAGTTTGACTGTTTACACAAATTACTGGACATGTTTTGGAAAGGCAGTACTAAGAACTTGATATCTGAGTTCAAGGCAGGCTGGATGAATGAAATGGCTGATGTTAAAAAATTCTGCAACGAACATGTAAAATCTGACTCTGTTATATTGTCACAAGTAAAGCACTACTTTGGAAAGCAACTCAAGAACTTTCATGTCCTCAGAGAGAATGAAGTTTATTCAGAACTGCCTTACAAATCAACATGGTTGAATGCCAATGACCAGCTTGATGACATTGACAAAGAGTTTGGCTTTCCGTGGTCTTTGAAGCATCAACTTCTCATGCCTGAGAGTGACAGCCATCCCTAAGAAGTCCAGATAGACAATGGCATTTCTGCACAAATAGTAAGTGAGATGTCAAACAAGATAGAGCTTGAACCAGTTGGTTCAAGGGAAGAAAAACAAGAATCAACTGTTGGAACCGCTTCAACACAAACTGCCTCTCCTAAGAGAATGGAGAGTGCTGATTCCATTGACCCATATTGCAATATTGAAATCCAAGTTTTGCCTTCAGAAGAGGCCAGGGCTATTTTTGAGCAAGCACAAAGCCAGCTGTCACGAAGTACAGACACGGATAATCAGCCAGCAAGAGTGAGGAGTAGCTCTGTGCTGGATGAGCCACCTAAGGTTATGGATGCCGCATTGAGTGACACAAAACTGGAGAAAGAGCCAGTCTGTCCAATAAAAGAGATTTGCTGCATTGGAAGGTATATTGAGCTAATTTGGGGACCAAACACAGCCTCTTCGAGTAAATGCCGGTGCAAGTACGAGCAAAGTCATGAAGATATTACTGACAGGGTCCTTGATAAGGAAGAAATGGCAGAACAAAAGAAAAATATTGTGATCAGTTCCGCCAAAGGAGAGAGTCAAGCAAAGGCTGGGGAGAATGTCGGCAGTCACGTTATGACACTTTACTGGCCTGAGTTACGGAATGAACAAGGTCACACCACTGACTTAACTGAAGATGAACACAAACCTCACCCTTATTCAGACAAAGAACAAAAGAACATTTCCCAGGTAAAAATAAATAGCTGGTCAAGCATTATACTCATAGATGAAAGCGAAGATGATCTGTCCAGCAGTGAAAATGAAGTTTCCAACAAGATGAAAGACTTTGAAAATGATTCTGAACAAGCTCAGGTGAAATTGACCAAAAGTAACCAGTCAAGCGGTTCAAACAAGAAAGAAACCAAAGAATTCTCCAGAAGTGACACGGAAATTCAGTCAGACCTTGGGGTGGATTGTGTCAGAGGTCAGTTAAAATCTACAGGAAGTATGCAGTCATGTACTTCGAACAGTAGTAACCAAGATATTGAAGATCTCTGCAGCAGTGAAAGTGAAATTGCCAGCCAGATGTCAGACCTCGAAGAGAATTGTGGACGAGCTCAGCTGACAGCGACAAATGTGGCAGAGTCATCATTGGAAACTGGAGAACAAACTGACATGAGTGCGACAGGCACTGTCCAGACAACTTGGAGTAGTAAACATGCAACCGTTGAAAGAAAGAAGAGACCAAGCAGTCATGATCATTTTTTTCCAGTCTTTAACAAATCAAAGAAATGCAAATCCCTTGCTGATTTGGATTCTCAGCCTGTCTTTGAGGGTGCCTCAAAATGTGGAAGGGCTTTTGTTGATGAGGTTGATAATGAACTTTCAGCCTCGAATGTTCAAACTGCAGAGCTTGTACTGTTTGGCTCAACACCACAAGACAGGTGTGTTTCAGTTGGCTGCAGAAAGAGCAATTGTTCATATCCAATGCCTAAGTCTGATGCAGTGCCAAGGCCTCCAAAAGTTATTAAGGTGAAATTCAGTCCATTGAGGAGAAAGTCAGCAGAGGAATATTCAGTCAAACAACAGCTATACGAAAAATTTAGAAGTTTTCCACCAAGTAAAACTAGGCACAGAAGCAAACTGAAAAAACAGAAGTGTACTTTTTCCTCTTCATCTGTGGCGAGTCTGAGGAAAGCTGAAATGGTGCGCTCCATCAACACTGAGGAGCTGCCAGTTTCCTATAAAATGAGAAAATGCCTGAGTCTGAAGTGGAGGAGGTTCCTCTCTAACAAACTCAAAAGGGAGAAGGAGAAGAGGAAATACTCTGTCACGCTCAACCAGCTTGCTGACCAAGAGAGGAGTAAGGGTGAAAATGGAAGCCATGCTGTTACACCTGTCAAGAACAACATTGTCCTGAAGTTCACTGTCTTACCCGACACCTTCAACTTCAAAGATGGATCCAGTGGAAAAGAGGAATTCAGTGATCCTGTTCCAGGTAAATCATGAGATTGAGATGCAAGAGGTTTTGATGCGAAAAAATGGCACAAGCGGCTCCAGCCGTTCCTCATGTTGATAAACAACATGTTAGGCATGCTAATTAGAGTTTGCATGGTTGCATGCAAACTGGACATGAATATCCAGTTTCATAGGCAATGTAAATAGCTCAGTAGGAATATTGCTTTTTTTGGGAAAAATGGTAAAAGCTGAAATATTTTGTGCATGCAAAGGTAGTCATTTTTGTTAATAGGAATAGATGTGTCACATATATCCACCATGAAATTCATAACAGTGGTAAGGTTGTTGTGAATACAAGAAAGCTTGCTATAGAAGAGTTTGGCAAGCCTGTGGGCCTTTTCTATTGTCACTTTTGGCCGCACTGTTTCAAATAATGCCGCACCAATTCGCGTTTCCTTTGTCAGTTTCAACATGCCGAGCCATGCCAAAGATGGACCTTCTCCTAGTAGAGCCAAAATGGTGACCACCTGCCTGTGAGCGGGTAGTGGTGACGTCTTGCCGACAGCAGACAACCCCCGACAACTCTCCTTTCCCCCTGAAACGAGTCAGTGTGTTGCGAGACTCCACTCACCTTTGTCTGTGCAGGAGATCAGGGAGAAACGCATTTTTAAATGTCTCTGTACTTTTGTATCTTCTTACTGAATCTCTGTGGTTTGGAGTTTAGTTTCTTCCGTGTCTTGTTTTTACTTTAGATATCTGCTTATCTGTTAAAGCTTTTACATCGGGGGACTTTTATTGTGAAGAATCTATAGGAAATGAAATGGATTTATCATTGAATTAGCAGAACTTTGTTAGTGGCTTTTCTTCAATTAAAAAGTCTTCTGATACTGCAGGATGAAGGTAAAAGCATCAACAACCACAGTGTGATGTTAGATGAAGAGCTGCAGACAACATCCCCTTTGTTAGAAAATTGACCAAAAAGCATCCCCCTTGTTAATCTAGAATCTGTGTGTGCAGGCACGGATGTAATTTGATGGAGAGACACAGGGGACATGTCCCCCGCACTTTTTACAGCCGTTACAACTGTTCCATTTGTTTATAACACGTGGTAACGTGTTCAGGGCTTGAAGTTCTCCGGCACAGTGCCAGATTTCCGGCACAAGAATATTCTGGTGCAGGAATATTTTTTCCTTGTGAATATTTTATCATCTTGCCGTAGCTACAGTCATTTAACCAGTCGTTTTAAAGCAAAGCAAGCCTCAACTAATGTATAATGTACAGTTTAATGCAGACATTCTTGTTGTCTTATTATTCTGCCTCTTGTTGCTCAGATTTGCCTAAAATTGCCCAGCCCCAACCATTTTGTAGTAGCTGATGACCAAATTTTCCTTTTTTGGTGAACTGATCATATTTCATCATTAAAAACCTTGAAATTGTTATTCTAGCTTCTTGATGTAATACTTGATTGATACTCTCAAAGTGCACCAGATTAATTCATTTAGATGTCAAATGTTTAAAAATTTCTTCCCGGGGGGGGCATGCCCCCAGACCCCCTTAGCGCAGAAGGCACCCCTCTCCTCTTCATGCCATCTAAAAAAAAATTTCAGGCACAGGATTTTTTCTTGCTTCAAGCCCTGTGTGTTTTTCCGAGCTGTCTTTAAACGCGCCATGAGTAGACGGCGCCAGGCGCATACACATGCTGTCATGTTGTGATCAGAATCAATCGCACAGACGAGACGTGTGTTACTGAGCAGTGCCGCTGTGTTAACTATGTTCAGCAAACCAGCCAGCAAGAAGCAAAAAACCTTGGCACAGTTTCTTCCAAACAAACCGTGTAAGTTGAGTAATGCTGTTGGATGTAGATAATGTTAGCTAAATGATGACTAATTAATAGATGCCAATATATCAAGTTAAGCTAGTTAACAAGAACACTAATGTTAATGTTACCTATGTTAAATACCTTGCTAGTTAGTTTCATGCTTGGAAAAAACCCACTCCTCCTTAATAAGAACTTGTGGTCACTATTGCTTTGCACATATTTGTTTAATCTTTATTGGCACAATATAAAGAGCAGGGTCAGGGAGGACACAGTGGACCAGAGGCCAGCAAGGATGATTATGTATGGTCCTTATAGGTGAAGAGAGATTATAACTGGCTGAGAGAAAATATCTAGAGCACAAAAGTGACTGTGCGATTAATTTCCACAGCTATGTCACCACTACTACTACTACTAATTCTATTTATGAATTTTGCTTTGCACATTTATCATCTATATTATTGCAATAGATAGAAGAGGGACGGGGAGAAACCAGGCAGGTATCAGGACAGGGACCTGATAGAATCACCAATTATCAGCCCAAGGAGTAAGGAGAAATAATAACTGGCTAAGGAAATGTCTATAGGATAAGAGTGACTCTAAGATTAATTTTCACAGCTATTTTAGAACTACTCTTATTTATACTCCAAAATGTTTTTTGTCTGTATTGCAGTGGCAATACTACTGCATTATTTGTGTTTTTAAAGGCACCAGGTATAGGTCATGCCATTTTTCTTTATCTTGATTAATTTTGCACATTTGTGCTGTCATATTTGATTATGTGTGCACGCAAAAAAATCAAAGCTACATTGCATCCCCCTTGTTGTATGGCTATTACCTAAAATGGTGCTCTGCCAAATTTAACTTAGCCTTGGGCCAACTAAAATTAGTCAAACTTGTCCATTCATCAGTAAGCCTGGCACTTCTGACACCATGACAGCTGTCATAGCGGAACATGATCCTCAGGTGGTCTTGATCTAGTATCCACTGGTCAGTGAAGATGTAAAAATACATACTAACAAAAAAACAAAATATGTTGTGTTGTTTTCATGAAGAAAACTTCACTCAGGCTTCAGAAGCTTCGAATGAAAACAGATGATTATGGGGAAGCATTTCATGCAGCATGGAGAAAGGACACACATATGTGGTCTCTACACCTTTCTGCTCTGCATCCTAAGGGCCCTTATTTTGGTTGTATGTAATAGCAACAGTTAAATGGCTGGAATAATGAGTCTTTAACTTCTGTTCTAGATTAAATTTGTTAATGTGTTGTGTTAAATCATTGCAATAATTAGTCCAAAGGCATTTTTGACGAGACAAGTGTTGGCGAAAGATCCAGACCATCTTCTGGCCTAGGGCTGGGTCTTTTTGGACAACATCCTGACATACCAAGCTGACAGTCGGCCGTCTGTCAGTGTTGGGCCATTGGTGAGCCTCTGTCACCCTAGTTCTGGCGGTGTGATCTGCACCTTTGACACTAGTCGGCCTTTGTTTACTGTTATCTGCACCGTTGACATTAGTTAGCCTCTGTTTGCTTTTTTTGGCAGATTCACTCTGCTTGGCAGTTTAACTCGGTGAACAAGAAGAGAAACAAGTGAGAAAAGCAAACAAATTGCTTAAGTCAAGAGGGCGTGAGATTGAAAAAAACTTGTATTAAGTAAGATTTTGTTTTTTGCCACTGAGCTCTTTAGCAGAAAATGTTTTGTAGCTGATTGTATCATTGTTCAAGTCGTGATATGTTGTTCAAGGTCGGGTTGTATTGTTAATGTGCTAACAGGCTAATTAGCATCTTGAATCTGTCCTTTCGGTCGTCTGGTTTCCCTTTTTTAATGACATACAGGCTGCAGTGGCCAAGTGGTATGGAGAGTGATTTCCTCTCACGCAGGCCCAGATCATACATACTATTTAGCTTCTGGCTGTAGTCTTTGCAGTGTGTTCAGGTGCAACTTCTTGGTTGAGACACAGGCAACATTAGGCAACACAACAGTTGACCTCTGTTGCCACTGTCTGGGCCCTAAAAGCCAGGATTTAATCTATATGTTGTCTGTGAGAAGAAGGGGTCAGAAGGTGAGGTGATAAATGGCCAATACAAGACAAGACAGTTCACACCTCAGTGTTACTTGAGTTGCTACCGTTAAGATGAAAGAGCAAAAGGGGGAGTGGCTACAAGTTGAGTTCCTGTTATGCTTAAGGTATGACCCCCTGCTTGGCTGGGCTGTCCTTAAATCTGTATAGACAGGGGTCTGATAATCAATGTAAAGCCAAGATCAAAAGAGATGGTCACACACAAAAGCAGGCACTTACAGCAATTCAGTGCCAGTCGTAAGCAGAAAAAAGGCAGCTTATATGTCCGGTCAAGTCAAGTCATTCATGAACAGACTCGACAAAGAATTATTCCATGTAAGACAATATGTTTGAAAGCCAAGTCACCACTTTGCCCAGATAAGCAAACGCAGATATCAGGAAGGTTTAAAATGTAAAAGGTGGGATCCTCTTTGTAATTCAGCTGCTTATGTATTCTGTAATGCTTTTGTTTTTCCTCAGATAAGCCTGACCTTGTTGAAGAGATGGACAGGAGCCACAATACAGCTGTCACGAAGGCTACAGGTAAGAGATGCAACTAAAACATTCTTATTTGTTCTTATTTTCTGTCTTTGTTATGTTCAGGCAGTGGTGAGAATCTTTTGTAATAATTATAAATGACCTGCACCTAGGTAAATGGCTTCCAAATCCTGAGAAGAAGCACAGTCCGTTGGTCAAGACCTACAGCATCTTCACTGAGTATCAGAAGAAATTCATGGAGAGGAGGCAGACATCCACGGATTAATAACATGTCACACTGAAGTTTTGTTGGCAACAGACAGATATTGTCTTTTGTCTGGGACTTTCTTGTTCTTATAAAAGTATGCCTTTGTGTTTTTATATTGTACATTCATTGAGTAAATTGAAGTTGTCCAAGTGTTGTACATATTTTTACTCTTAACAGTCTGTCAAATAAGTTTTTGCTGTACACAGATAGTGTTCTCATCAATTTGCACACAGAATCTTCAGTACATGGCTGTAAAAGCTTACAATGTCATCCACGTTAGTTATAGCTCCTTGTTACATTTTATGCAAAAATGCAACTTTTTGACAGAATGTATATTTCAGCTACATATTTATATTTTTGTATTTTTCTACATTAAGTATATTTTTCTACATTATTTGCATCTTAAACCTATATTTTCATAAGAAACAAGAAATGTGATCTCATGATTCCTGCACTGTTAATGTGAAACAAGTTGCCATTCTTTTTTAATTTTACTGTTTTTACTGTTTTTACCTGAAATAAATTCACTACTGAGCAAAACTTAGGTTCATCTGTTATACTGAAATACACAGCCAGGCAAACTTGGGTCAAGGGTCCAAACATTGCCACATTGATTATTTGCATAAATCTTTTAGGATATAATATGATACAATAAATAGCTGACCACCCAGAATCTTTATGTTAAAAACATTATCGTCACTTTTAAACTTGTCTGATGATGAATGGGTTGAGGAAATCAGTGTTCAAGGTGATTTGTTGTCAAATGAACAGCCATAAGAAGTCGTTTCCACTGAAGAACCTGGGTCACAGTAGTGACAAAAAGAAAAGCTAAATAGATGGATGCAAAGATATACAGTGGTCCCATTTGAAATAAGGATAAATATATGTTAACTAAGCACAAAAAGCAGGGAAATTTGTGTTTGGTAGATTATTTCTTTGTTGTAACAATGCTTCTTGGCAATAAATCTTATACCTTTGTAAAGCCTGTTTATTTCCCTTTTAAATGGTGCCACATTTGTAAGGAACATGCATTTATGGGATGAGCAGCAGAGCTGAGTATGTGGGTTGCGCCCATGAAAAATTTGCCAAATCTTCTCTGCCAATGTCAAACAGCTTTTTTTGCTGTTGCAAAGAAATAATCTACCAAAGACAAATTTCTTTACCTTTTGTACTTCGTTTATTTGGTAGCTGATATAAATCAATAGTTACGTAAGTACACAAAATGAAACCGGAATGAGCTTCAGAGGTGCAAACAGGATTGTCCAGATGCTTATCTTCATGCATGCACAGTCAACAGTTGAGCATCATGAGTCACACAGGAGTCTGTCGTGCAGCTGAAATGTCACTGTCACTGACGTCTTTCATCACCTTAGAAATGACTCTAAACAAATCTTATGTAGTGACTGTCTTTACCTCATTTAATGAGCTGGGAGGAAGTAAAATATCTTTGGACTGTCTGGGCTGGTGATAAATGTTTTGGTTGTGTGGGTAAGGTTTGGACCTTGGAATGTGAGATTGGATGAAAGAAGTTTCTCACCTAACAGCAGGAAGCCAATACTCAAACAGCTGCCAGGTAACAAAACACGTCCATTACAAGTCCATTAGTTCCACATTTAAAAGCTTTGCAGGGGTAAAGTATACCCTAAATGACTATTTGTTTACGACTCACTGTGCTGTGTTTAAATGGTGAAGAAAAACCTCATCTATTTCTGGCATGCCTCCTCAGTGAACAAAGAATCCAAATAGAAGAGAAAATACCTGATGAATGTAAGTAATAGGGAATGACATTTAATAACAGTAAAATTATATCAAAACCAGTCCCACGCTCAGTACTTCCCAAACACATGCATTTACAAGAACTTAAGAACTTAACTTACTATTAGGGGCCATTTATACGACAACTATTTCAGTAAAAATGGAAAAGTCTGTCCTTTGCGTTTTAAAAAACTTCTGCGTTTATATGACGACGTTTTTGAAACGAGCCCCGTTCACACGGAGCTGCAAAATCTACTGGAAACGCTGTAGTATGCACGCCAGGCCAATGGGTGGCAGTGTAAATTTGCAAAGCAACACCACGGCATGACGCCATGCGCCTGCGCTGAAGCGCCTTCCTCTACAACGCGGTGCTTACAAACCAAAACAAAGAAGACACAATGGCGAAAGCATGCACAGATAACTTTTTCTGGATGGACAATGAGGTGGAGTTGCAACAGCCACAGATCTACACTTTACTTCAACAGGGTGAGCAGCACAAACAGAGCTCGGCATTGTTGTTGTGACGTCGGCATGCCTAGTGACTGGAACTGTAATGCGCATGTGCAAAAAGTCTCCGTTTTCAGAGGAACTGCATATTACACGTTTACATGACAACGGAGACACTGCCGTTTCCAAAATGTTGCACTCTGCAACCCGTTTTCAAATCACTGTGTTTTCAGGCACCCAAAATGCCGCTGTCGTGTAAATGATCAGCCAAAACGCAACTAAAGTTTACCATTTTCAGTTGAAATCGTTGTTGTATAAACAGCCCCTTATAAACACTTATGCACAAACACTCCAGGCATGGATAAGTAGCGCGCCTGCACTGTTCGTGTTGTTCTCCATTTTGGATATCTGAGAAAAACATAGTTTTTCTTCCCAATTCAGTGTAACACAGGGTGAGTGATTGATTTACAAATGGTCATTTAGGGGGCTGAAGTAGTCCTTTAATAGTAATTTTGGATCCCATGAAACCATTTATTAAGTGGACCCTGTAATTGTAATTTCATTTTCTTTGTGTATTCATTGTGTTTTCAACTACTTGAGATGCCTAGACCTCTTAACCTCCCACCCAGATACAAAATCCTGCAGGATATGCCAGGTGTGAAACACACCCTAGGAGGTCGGTGCCAATACCTGCAGCAGAAAAAAGAGTGTGAAAACACTGCGTAGGGGTGCAGACAGAAGGGTGTGAAACACACCTTAAGAGGTGTTCCTCAGGCATAAATGTTTAGGCTTTCCCATGCTCGGGGTCTTTCTTAATTCTGACCGCTCGTGTGCTGATTGACCTTTTCTTTGCAAAGAAAATAAAAACCTTGTCGGCCGGCAGAAGTCTCTATTTCATTCTTCACCAGCAGCAGAGAATTTTCCACAACAACCCCAGAGACCTTTCACACTGTCAGTGACAGCAGAGCCTCTCTGCAATAAATGAGTAAACTCAACATCAGTTTAAGTAACTCATATCTGTACACTCATTGGCCACTTTATTAGGTACACCTTGCTAGTACTGGGTTGGACCCCCTTCTGCCTTCAGAGCTGCCTTAATTCTTGATGGCATAGATTCAACAAGATGCTGGAAACATTCCTCAGAGATTTTGGTCCATATCAACATGATAGCATCATACAGTTGCTGCAGATTTGTCAGCTGCACATCCATGATGTGAATCTCCCGTTGTTTTTGACTGTAAGGATGAATCATCATTCTAACTGTACTGTGGGGCCTACAGCTCTACAGATGCAAACAGGAAGCCATTAATTTACCCAGATACAAGTAATGGTAATTACATGACTAATAAGGAACATCTTGAAGGGTTTGGGCCTCATGATATACAGACCCAATATATAAGTGGCCTGCCGAGAAGTAGTAAGGCGCCACAGTCATATCATGTTTACGCATGTAGAATTTACATCCAGAACCCAGAAATTAAGGGAAGGCATACATTCGTTTGTTTTGCATGGACAAATAACCCTCTGAAACTGGAGAAGGAAATGACCACTTTTGATTAGGAGGATGGCTCTGTTTCTCATTATGCTATCAGAAATGAGCAAATATTATGAATATGGATGAGGATGTCTTACAGGCCTTAAAACATGGAGTTTGGGGACAGACAAGAGAGAGTTTCTAAGATTGGCTGAATCTCTCCCGGATTACTGCAGAAATCTGAATCTGATATCTTGGCTTGCTAAATAAAAGTTCTCTTGGTCCGAAACAAGCCTGTATCAGCGGAGTCTTTTTCTTCACCATCATCTCACCATCTTTTTGTCATTGCAATAAGAAAGGCCTGATAAACTACAGTTGTCTTTGACTGTCCGCTCTGATTCCTCCAGATACAATTTTTCTAACTGCATCACTCTTTGTTGTATACAAACAGGTATGAGATCCAGCCACATGAAATATGACTGTATATATTCTGTGTATAATCTATTTAGATTACTGTACATATAT